AAAAACATCTGTTTTGGTTCTGATTATCATGTTTATCACGCTGAAATCATGCGTTTTAAACCATATTAGTTTAAACTTATGATAAGTCCGAAGCACACGGACAGAAAGCGGCCACCACACAGCATGTGAGTTCTCATTCACACACAAGTTTACGTTAAAAACACACATGAGTTACAAAAACAGTTGGTTATTTCTGTGAAGGTAAACTGCTGGGAAATAAATCGCTTGTTTATTTTAGATCTGTGTGGCAGCAGCAATATACAGTAAATAAATCAATAAATCCACTGCTCTCTTGTCTCTTCTGAGGCTGGAACTCTAAATAGTGTTCTGTGATCATCAGTGCAGCCAAAGGCATAACAGTTAGCATGCTTTGCTCGAACTTTCGCCATGGTACTGGTACACCATTGTTGCTTGTGAAACACAATGGAGGCCCCGTGGGTGTAAACTTGCAGATTAAGGGGCGGTAATATTATAATGAGATCCAGCAAAATCAGACGCGCTGGTTTTCTCAGACGCTTACAGAAAAAGGCTTCCCAAAACAAAGTTACTGGGTTAATCTTTTTCACGTTTCCTTGGTTGGTAGATGCACCGGGGACCTGATTATAGCACTTAAAACCTGGACAAGTCAGATTTTCATGATGTGTCACCTTTAAGAGACCACATTAATCGAGCTCTACAGATCTTATTATCGTGTGTTTGAGTTTTGATTTTAGCACTGTCTGCATATTTTCCAAACATATCAATAAATGCGTGATTATTTATTGAAATGATTATTCATCACTGCTATAATAATTAAGTTAGCATAGACATATTAGAAGAAATTCCTGTCATCTATAACAATACTTGCTGAGTTGACTATTTTTCTGCTGTATTAAGCATGTTACAGTTATACCACACCTCTATCCTGAGATCTTCTGTCCTCAGTAGAGAGAGCATTATATTGTAGTGAATTTCTCTGAGAACGTGCATGTCACAGTGTTCAGTCTGGATGTCCTGTACAGAGCACATCCAGGGCTTTTCAGAGAGTTTCCCATGAACACTCACTCCCTCTCCTTGGTCTTTAAAAATGGCTGACGTTAATTTAGTGATCAAATTTAACACACTTATGGAAATATGATAATATATTTTGTAATTACCATTTAAATCTTGACTAATTTTTAAACTGTTTGTCATAAATCAACATCTCAGGAAAATGTTACAGGGTTTCAAATCAAAATATGACTTTCTGTTATGAAACGGGACATCGATTTCATACATGTCCACTGTAGAGGACACCAGGACTAAAAGTGTGTTTATTACGCATTTTGGGAGACAGAGCGAATAGGGAAAGAAATTATATTTCTATATTCCTATGAAATATTAGATATTATGAAAATCTTGCCCATTATTACACTTACTTTTTCTTTACATGTTGGCCCAAGAACACATTAATATGCAAATTAGATACAGTATATAGATACATTGTATATAATGGGAAAACCCTCTTATGGCCATTTTACACACACACACTGCATAAAGCAAAATGGTATATCAAATCATCCATATCTTTGTTATATCTTTCATAACATAGTTGAGAATCAAAGTTTGCTATAAAAAAATCCTGAAATCTAAAAACTTATTGATGTTTTGCCTATTCATGTTCATTCATGTATTTTTATTTTTTATAAATTGAGTCGTGGTGTCCTCTACAGAGGACATAGCATATGAATAAAATAGCATTTTTCAAAATTGTTATTTGTATTTTTTTGTATTATGCTGTAAACAATGTAATGACATGAAAAAAATACTAAATTCACAAAACTTTTTTAGCTTTAGCAGAGTATACTGTCATATGGCATATAGCATATCATAACGCCCTCGGGTTTATCACTAGTTATGCAGCGACAGGTGCCTCATTACGTATTTAAGGAAAGATGTTAAATCGATTTGTCCTGCTGTAATTGAGATGTTTTATGAATGTGTGTGTTACAGAAAGAGACGAGTAGTGCTCTGACTCACGCTGGAGCCCATCTGGATCTGTCTGCATTCTCTTCCTGGGAGGTCGGTTTCTTTTGGTCTTGTCTGCTACAAATGTGACTTTATTTTTACTTCATTTTATTTCCTGGTTTCCCTGTTAGTCATGTTTTCTTTAATGTTGTGTTTGATTGCCACAGGAGCTGGCGTCTCTGGGTCTGGACAGATTGAAGTCTGCTCTCATGGCTTTAGGTCTCAAATGTGGAGGGTGAGTATGAAGACACTGTCCTGCGCATGTTGCTCTTGCTTTAACTGAAGTTTCACATTTAACCGGATTACAAATAAAGCATTCAGAGAGCTGGCAGTCCCTGATTCTCGAGTCTGTATGTAATCTTCAGATGTGTGATTGTTGTGTGTTTGTTCACTGTAGCACACTAGAAGAGAGAGCCCAGCGTCTGTTCAGCACTAAAGGCAAATCCTTGGAGGCACTGGACCCCTCACTGTTTGCCAAAAACCCAAAAGCCAAGGGACCAAAGAAGTAAGCCTATCTCCGTTTGGGAAACTATGTAAATACAATGCAGTCAAATTTAAAGGGTTAGTTCACCCAAAAATGAAAATTAGTCCATAAATTACTCACCCTCAAGGCATCCTAGGTGTATATGACTTTCTTCTTTCAGACGAATCCAGTCGGAGTTATATAAAAAATTGTCTTTGATCTTTCAAGCCGTTTCATGCCACTCAGCGGGTGTTGCATGCTTCAGTCCAAAAG